CCCTGCCAGTGTTCCCCAGCCAGAGATGTCCTTCTCGTGGTTACAGGTGAGAAGGAAGTGTCCCAGAAAGAGCCTGGCTTAACCCATCTGCCCCCACCCCCAGCCTTAGAGGATGAAGAAGGACTCAGAGGACATTAAGTGGTCTCTGCTCCCACGGAGGGGCCTGAGGACAGCAGGAGCAGTCTGAGGACACTGGTTTGATTGGGGATTAGTGAAAGTGAAATTCTGATCCTCGACAAGACTCTGCCCACAGCTGGGCAAAGGTGTGTCTGGAATCCTTGGTTCACATGCTCCCAGGAAAGACCTCAGGGGACCCTGAGCTTCTCCCCATTGTTTCTGACCCTCTTTCTCCTCCAGGAAGCTCATCTAAACCAAACTTCCTCAATCAGAAGAGGCCTACGGTGACACCAGGAGAGAACGTGACTCTTCAGTGCCGGAAGACAGACCTCGAGACTGCATTTATCACGTGTGCTCTGCAGAAGCAGGGAATTCCTGAGCCTGCTGACATCCCGGAGACCATCAGGGAATGTGGCTCACTTCGCCTTCGGGACTGTAAGAGTCAGGGACCATGGCAGCTACAGATGTGTATACTACCAAACCGAGGCTCCTTTCTGGGCCTCACAGCCCAGCAACAGCTTAGAACTGTGGGTGACAGGTAAAGATTGGGATGATTTTATAATAAAATAACCCTAACCTCTTGCTGTCATGCCCTGTATCCTTGCAGTGTTCATTTCACTTACTCGCAAACACATATACCAATATAAGCAAACACAGTCGAATGCAGTGTTGCTATGCTCGTTTCAAACAGTTACCTGCTAGATGACTGAAGGACAGGAAAAATGAAACTTCTTATTTTTACCTTCACTTATTCCTTCTATGATGCTTTGCCCTTTTTTTTTTTTAAGATTTTATTTATTTATTTATTTGAGAGGGAGAAACAGCATGAGAGGGAAGAGGGTCAGAGGGAGAAGCAGGCTCCCTGCCAAGCCGGGAGCCCGATGCGGGACTCGATCCCAGGACTCCGGGATCATGACCTGAGCCGAAGGCAGTGGCCTAACCAACTGAGCCACCCAGGCGCCCCTGCTTTGCCTTTTTCCACGCAGATCCGAGTTTCTGATCCGCATCACCTTCCCTCTCGCTAAAGAACTTCTGGTTACATTCCGTGCAAGGCAGGTGTAGCGGCAACAAATTCCCTCAGTTTTTGTTTGTCGGAGGAACGTTTTACTTCTTCATTTTGAAGGATAGTATCTCAGGGTCCAGGATGTCAGGTTGGTGGTTTTTTTCTCTCAACACGTTGATATTTCACTCCACTCTCTTCCCACATTGTTTCAAGAAAGTCAGATATAATTCTTACTATTGCTCCTCTGTAGCTGAGGTGTTTTCTCCTCTGGCTTCCTTCAGGATTTTCTTAACCTCTGCCTTTCTAGTTTGAAAAAGATATGCATAGAGATGGGGTTGTTTTTCCTTCATTTCTGATGTTTATCCTGCTTGCTGTTCTGTTTCCTGGATCTGCGGTTTTGCGTCTGACATTAATTTGGAGAAAATTCTCAGTTGCTATTTCTCCTATTTCTTCTGTTTCTCTCTCTCTCCCCTCCTGCTGATCCCATGACGCACGGGTTACGCCCTGGTTCACAGCCCCTGGACACTCCCTTCTGTGTTCTCCCAGTCTTGTTTCTGTTTGCTGCTTGGTTTCGGAGGCTTCTGCTGGTGCATCCTCAGGCACCGAGCTTACTCCCTCAGCCACACCCAGTCCACCTACAAGCCCATCGAAAGGCATTCTTCATTTCTGTCACAGGGTTTCTGGTCTCTGGAGCTTCTTTTTGAGTCTTTCTTAGGATTTCCACCTCCCTGTTCACGTCGCCCATCTGCTCTTGCATGCTGTCTACTCTACCTGCAAGAGCCCTTAGCATATGAATCACCGTGGGTTAAGTTCCTGAGATGATCATTCCAGCATTTCTGCTATACCTGCATCTGGTTCTGCTGCTGCATCTGTATCTCTTCAAAATGTTTTTGCTTGGGTTTTTTTTTTTTTTTTTGGCTTTTGGTACACCCTGTCCTTTGTTCTTGATGGCCAGCCATGATGCGCCAGGCAAAGGAACTGTTGGAAACTGGCCTTTAGTGATTTGGTAGGATCTTTCCTAGGATTGGGACTCCGACTTGCACAGAGCCTGTGCCCCTGGGCTGTGACCCTCACAGGGTTTCTCAGTCCTCTTGCTATGGTGGGACAGGGTGGCCAGAGCTGGCTGGGGTTGGGTGTTTCTCTTCTTCCAGGTCAGTTAGGCTCTGATAAAACCCCAGGAGGTTAGGCTCGGTGAGCTAGTTTCCCCTGGCCTTGTTAAGAAGAACACAGTGCTCTGTTGGTGGGAATGCAAGCTGGTGCAACCACTCTGGAAAACAATATGGAGATGGAGATTCCCCAAAAAGTTGAAAATAGAGCTACCATACGATCCAGCAATTGCACTACTGGGTATTTACCCCAAAGATACAAATGTAGGGATCCGAAGCGGTATGTGCACCCCGATGTTTATAGCAGCAAAGTCCACAATAGCCAAACTGTGGAAAGAGCCAAGATGTCCATCGACAGATGAATTGATAAAGAAGATGTGGTATATATACACAATGGGATATTATGTAGCCATCAAAAGGAATGAGATCTTGCCATTTGAAGCGATGTGGATGGAACTGGAAGGTGTTATGCTGAGTGAAATAAGTCAATCAGAGAAAGACATGTATCATATAACCTCACTTATATGAGGAATTTTTTTTTTTAAGATTTTTATTTATTTATTTGACAGAGAGAGAGATAGCGAGAGCAGGAACACAAGCAGGGGGGGCGTGAGAGACGGAGAAGCAGGCTTCCCGCCAAGCAGGGAGCCCGATGCGGGGCTCGATCCCAGGACCCTGGGATCATGACCTGAGCCGAAGGCAGACGCTTAACGACTGAGCCACCCAGGCACCCTATATGAGGAATTCTTAATCTCAGGAAACAAACTGAGGGTTGCTGGAGTGGGGGTGGGGTGGGAGAGATGGGGTGGCTGGGTGATAGACACTGGGGAGGGTACATGCTATGGTGAGCGCTGTGAATTGTGCAAGACTGTTGAATCACAGATCTGTACTTCTGAAACAAATAATGCAATATATGTTAAGAAAAAAAAAAAAAGATAGCAGGAGAGGAAGAATGAAGGGGAGTAAGTCGGAGGGGGAGACGAACCATGAGAGACGATGGACTCTGAGAAACAAACTGAGGGTTCTAGAGGGGAGGGGGGTGGGGGATGGGTTAGCCTGGTGATGGGTATTAAAGAGGGCACGTTCTGCGTGGAGCACTGGGTGTTATGCACAAACAATGAATCATGGAACCCTACACCAAAAACTCATGATGTAATGTATGGTGATTAACATAACAATAAACATTTAAAAAAAAAAAAGAACAACAACAACACAGTGCTCTGCTGTATTTCAAAGTGGGTTTTCCCCTCTCCCTGCCAGAAACAGGAGGGGGTTTTTCTTGGCTCTTCACTAGGAGAACCTGGTAGAGCTCCAGGAGGTGAAACTCCCAGACCCCATGACCGGGCCCCCATGACCAGCTCCCCGGAGTTCCTAACTCCCAGACTTGTCCAAGCCAAGCATCCCCACCCGGCACTGGTCCCCATGGAGGTTTCGGCTTGTGGGTTCTTGCTCAGCAAACTCTGATTCTTGGGACTCAGGGGTTGGCCTCTCCAGCTGCAGGGCCGAGGGCTCTGTGTGTCCTCGGTGCCAATTCAGATCTCACAAGAGTTATAAACTTTTCAGTTTGTTCTGCTTTTCCTCACTGTTACTGTGGAGTAGTGACTTCCATGGGCAACCAGAAACTGGAAGCCAAGATCTCGGTCATCTCGATCTGGGAAATCCTTGGGTCAGGGACTCCGTCTTGCTCAGGGACCAGGGACTCCGTCTGTCATCAGGAAGCCCGTGTGCAAAGGTACTCTCTCTACAGAGCTGTCATTCTCAGTGTCACGGTGGGAGAACGGAGCCCCTGGGAGCCAGCACAAGCTAAGAATCACGTTGGAAGAGACCCTCGCACACAGAGTGGCATACAGGACGGAGACTTTCTCCCCCACAAACCTAACCTGTGACTAGCAGCAATCTCTGCCTTTGGGGGTTTTAAGATTTCCCCTTTCCCCATCCATTCTCCCCCTCGCATTATTTCTTCTTCATCACGATGCATCGCATGTGTAGACTTCTCCCTTGGCCCTCACCAATGTACATTTATGTATTTTTAATTGATTAGGAATTTTAAGAAACCATCATCCTAGGCAATGAAATACAGTGCATTCTGTGTCCTGGTGCTTCTGCTTCTGCTCTCTGATGACTCAGGATGGTAAGCTCACTGACCAGGACACACAAATGGGCTCTGACTTCTGACAGAGCAGGAGGGAGCGTGCTCTGAGATAAACCACCTCCGACTGGGTCTCGCGGCCCTCTTTCTGGTTATGGAGGCTGTCCTGGCTGAAGCCTGGCAGAGCCGCAAGGCGTCTCTGCATGGACCCAAGTAAACAACGGAGCACCCTTCTTTTTCATGGGCTGTCCTAGTGATAGGGGACGTGTCAACACCAAACTTGCCTTGTGGGGACCTCCTATGTTTCTCAACGTGGCATGATTGGTATTGCTGGTGGGACATTTCTTACCATGGAGGACTGTCTGGTTCATTGCAAGAACATTCAGCATCTCTCTCATCTCTCGTTAAATCAGCTGAAGCCCCAGTCGCTGTGCAGACATGCTAACTAACACTCCCATGCCCTCTCAACATCCCTAGATACGGAGGAGGAGGGGAGAGTTCCACTGCCGGAGACCTGTGTTTGGAGGCCAGGAGAAATCGTATCTTCCTCTTCCTCCCTCGCCTGACCTCTCTCGGTTCTTCTCCACCTACAGGTCCCACAGCTGCTGAGGGGAATGATGAGTGTTGATGAAGTTGGACCCACTGACCCTGAACAGTTTCCAGTGGATCGTGCATTCATTCTCACCTCTGCTGAGAGCCCCTCCCGGACAAGATGATGGTCTCCTCTTCTGTACTCCTCACCTGTGGCAGAGAACAGGACGGGGCATAAAAATTCACCCAACAAATGATTATGCCACCCTGAACACTCTATCTTTTGTTACACCAATATGACATGCCACTTAGGTCATACCCCAAATTTCCATACATGGATGAACCTCTTTCTGGAATCACTACTCTAGTTATTTGGTGTGTCTTTATTTTGCATTTTCCTCATAGCTAATGATATTGAGTGTCTTCCCACGTACTACTGGCCTTTTAAAAAATTTTTTATCAAAAGGGGCGCCTGGGTGGCTCAGTCGTTAAGCATCTGCCTTCGGCTCAGGTCATGATCCCAGGGTCCTGGGATCCAGCCCCACGTTGGGCTCCCTGCTCCGCCGGAAGCCTGCTTCTCCCTCTCCCACTCCCCCTGCTTGTGTTCCTTCTCTCACTCTCTCTCCCTGTCAAATAAATAAATAAAATGTTTTTAAAAAAAATGTTATATTAGTTTCAGGCACACAACATATTGATTCAATGGTTCTACACGTTACTTGATGCTCACCATGGTAAGCATGGTCACCATCTGTCACTATATGACATTTATTTTAATTCCTGATAAAGTATCTGATTAAATATTTGCCCATTTTTTTTTAAAGGTTTTATTTATTTGACAGAGAGAGAGACACGCGAGAGAGGGAACACAAGCAGGGGGAGAGGGAGAGGGAGAAGCAGGCTTCCTGCGGAGCAGGGAGCCCGATGCGGGGCTCGATCCCAGGACCCTGGGACCATGACCTGAGCCGAAGGCAGACGCTTAACGACTGAGCCACCCAGGCGCCCCTATTTACCCATTTTTAATTCGGTTATTTGTCTTCTTAATACTGAATTGCAAGAATATATACATATTCTGGCCACAAGTCTGTTAACAAACATCTACTTTACAAGTATTTTTCTTACAGTTTGTGTGACTTGTCTTTTCATTTTTAAACCTCTCTTAAAGAGCAAAAGTTTTACATTTTGGTTAAGCTCACCAACTATGAATTATTTTTTCTTTATGGCTTGAGCGTTTATGTCCTAAGGAATCTTTGCTTAACTCAAGGTCACAAAGATCCTTTTCCTTTCTTTTTTTTTTTTTTTTTTGCAGAGGAAATAATATAATTCCTTTATTTGAAGAATGATACTGAGCCTCAGAGATCAGTTAAAGCTGCTGGAACGGGGATTCTTTATAAACTGTGTGGTTCCCTGCCTTCAAACAGCTGTAGCTGTACGCAGATGGAAAAACATTTGGTCAGAAAGCAGCAAATTAGTGTTTTTCAGGACAGAATTCAGCTCCCACAGCTCCTGCGTCTCTCCGTTCGGCTAGATTTTATTTCTTCTTTGCATTGACATTTTTGCAGACCCAGTTCGTGCCGTCCTGAACGCCCTCTCCTGTGAGAGCTGAGCAGGACTGGATCTGCCAGACGCGGTCGCGGATGGTATGCAGGTTTAGTCCTTCTGCAATTTCAGAGGCAGGGGCTGCCGTGAGCAAATCCTGCTTGTTAGCAAAGATGAGCACTGGCACACAACTTAGTTTTTCTTCCTCCAGTAATTCAGCTAGTTCCTGACCCGTCTCTTCAAATCTTTTTCTGTCTGCACTGTCCATTACATATATGAGAATACCAGTATTTTCAAAATAATTTCTCCAGTATGGTCTGATTTTTCTCTGTCTACCAATGTCCCATACATTCAGTTTAAAACCTTGTGATTGTACACTTTTGATGTGAAATCCCTGTGTAGGTGTAATGTGGCTGATGTCTTCAGATGCAAGCTGCTTTGGAAGAGTGGTCTTGCCAGCATTATCCAAGCCCAGGGGAAGAATTCTCACCTCCTGGTCTGGTGCACTTTTCAATTTGCGCAAAATTGAGAGCAAGCCCATCCTCCCGCCGAGTCCCTCCTCCTCCTCCTCCTCCTCCTCTCCTATGTTTTCTTATGTAACTACTATAGCTTTAGATTTTACATTTAGGTCTTAATCCCTTTTTTCCTAAACATTTTATTTTTATTTGAGAGAGAAAGGAAGCACATGCATGCAGGGGAGCCAAAGAGTAGCCAAGAGTAAGAGCACTTGAGTTGGAGCATCCTACTTCTACTGGAATATACGTGTTCCCGAAAGTTCGCATGTAGAAACCTTAAGCCCCAGTGTGATGGTGTTGGGAGGTGGGGCCTTTGAGAGAGAATTATGGCATAAGGATGCGGTCTTCATGAATGGGATTAGTCTCTTCTTATAAGAGACACAAGAAAGATGATCTCTCTTCACCATGTGAGGGTACAGGGGAAAAGGCAGCGGTCTGTAAACCGTCAAGAATGCACTTGCTAAGAATCCAAACATGGTAGCACCCTGGTCTCTGACTTCTAGCCTCCAGAACTGTGGGAATAAGCATTTGCTGGTGTAGCCACCTGGTCTACGGTCTTCTGTTAGAGCGGGCTGAGCTGACGAAGACACCTACAAATGCATCTGCATGTGGGACAGGGGAGGAATGCATGTCTTCCCCTTTCTGGAACAGCCACTTGGATTTTGAGGTTTGTTTTAGGGCACTAAGCAGTGAGCCTTGTCCTGCTTGGAGTATCAGGGAATGAAAAGAGATGATGGAAAAGATCAGTTCAAAAACCTTTCATTGCCAGGGCTAAGACTGTCACATGTATTTCTCTGCAAGGAAAGGGTTTTCTCCATCTCCGAGCCAGCCCTTCTCCCCTCAAGTGGGTGTGGGTGACCACGGGGTGGTGTTGGAAGTGGCGCTCACTGGGTTGGAAGTGGCGTTCACTGGTTAGTTATGGTGACTTTGCAACTTTTCACACCCTTGAAAAAAATCGTGCTTATACTGGGCATCTTGTCAGTCAGCCATCGTGTGTTTGTTGAGGCCCTACTGTGTGCCAGGACCTGGGGACAAAGAGAGATGCCGAGGTAACAGCACCGGTCCCGGCTTTATGGGCGAGTGACATCGTGTCTCCTGTGGCACAAAGGACATACACTTCTATAAACTCGCTCGAGATTTTTTTTTTTTTTTGAAGATTTTATTTATTTGACAGAGAGAGACACAGCGGGAGAGGGAACACAAGCAAGGGGGAATGGGAGAGGGAGAAGCAGGCTTCCCACCGAGCAGGGAGCCCGACGCGGGGCTCGATCCCAGGACCCTGGGATCATGACCTGAACTGAAGGCAGACGCTTAACGACTGAGCCACCCAGGCGCCCCTAAACTCACTCGAGATTTTACAACCAGAGGGATGTTAGCATCCTGGTGACAGGAGTCAGTCCTTTTCTCTCTCCCTTCTGAGCACAACAAATCCACATCTGTAACTGAACAAAAGCACCTCTGCACTGCTCACTAGGACACCAGAGATCCATCCTTGTGTGCATGGAAGGTGGGTGGCTGGGACCTGCAGGTGGCTGCGTGGAAGAGGGGGGGCAATGAAGTGAGGAGTGAAAATCTGCAGCCCGGCTGCAGCTGGAGGGGCCCCCGCTCCTCAGCGACACCCCCATTTCAGAGGCGAGACCTCCAAGACTGAACAGATAGAACTGAAGGAACACTCTCCCACTGTCTGCCCAGAAGGAGCTCCGGGATCACTCCTTCGAGGAGTCCCCACAGCAAGGACACACCTGCAGCAGCAGTACTAAGCACGCACCTCCCCCCACTCGGAGCCACCCCACCTTTTCCTCAACCTGCTTCTTCACATGCTCCCAAGCTTAGCTGGGAGGCAGCTCTGGCAAAGAGAAACCAAGACTTGTGCCCTAGTGCCACCTTCTGGAACACAGAAGAAAGGCTCCTAGTGACCTACCCGTTGAACCATTAGATCAGAATCAAAGTGAACAAAACCTTACCCAAGTAAGAATGCGCTCACTACTTCAAGTGCAGGGGCAGGGATACTTCTCATCAAACACTGTGAAGAATCACGGCAGCACAGCATTACAAAAAGCAAATGAAATTTTCCAGTAACCAACCAAACCCAAAGACACAATATTGTTATCTGCTAAAGAATTCAAAAGAGGTGAGGTGGGGCGCCTGGGGGGCACAGTCGATTAAGCGTCCAACTCTTGATTTCAGCTCAGGTTATGATCTCAGAGTCCTGAGATCGAGCCCCGCATCTGGCTCTGAGCTGGGCGTGGAGCCTGGTTAAGATTCTCCCATCTTCTCCCTCTGCCCCTTTCCTCCCCACCCCTCCAGCTCTGCTCTCCTCCTCTCTTAAAAAAAAAAAAAAAGGAAAAAAAAGAAGGCTGGGGCACATGGCTGGCTCAGTGGGTGGAGCATGCAACTCGATCTCGGGGTTGTGATTTCGAGCCACATGTGCAGTGTGAAGCCTAACTTAAAAATAAAATCTTTTAGGGGCACCTGGGTGGCTCAGTTGGTTGGGCGACTGCCTTCGGCTCGGGTCATGATCCTGGAGTCCCGGGATCGAGTCCCACATCGGGCTCCCTGCTCAGCGGGGAGTCTGCTTCTCCCTCTGACCCTCTTCCCTCTCGTGCTCTCTATCTCTCATTCTCTCTCTCTCTCAAATAAATAAATAAAATCTTTAAAAAAATAAAATAAAATCTTTTAAAAAATGTATTCAAAAGAGCTATGAGGAAATTCAGTGAGCTACAAGAAAACTCAGAGAGGCAATACAACGAACTCAGGAATAAAATTAATGAACAGAAGGAGTATCTTACCAAAGAGATTAAAATTCTAAATAAGAGCCAAATGGAAATTCTGGAGCTGAAGAACTCAATAAATGAGATGGAGAATACATTAGAAAGCACTAGAAATAGAGCAGATCAGCTGGAAGAGAGAATAGGTGAGCCTGAATATAGGGATCTAGAAATGATTCAGGTGGAAGATGAGAGAGAAGATTTTTTTTTTTTTAAGATTTATTTATTTGACAGAGAGAGAGCGCGCGCGCATGCACACAAGCAGGGGGAGTAGCAAGCAGAGGGACGCAGGGAGAGGGAGAAGCAGGCTCCCTGCTGAGCAGGGAGCCAGATGCGGGGCTCCATCCCAGGACCCCTGGGATCATGACCTGAGCTGAAGGCAGATGCTTAACCATCTGAGCCACCCAGGTGCCCCCAAAACTAAGATTTCTAAAGCAAATAAACCCTACAGGAGGGGTGCCTGGCCGGCTCAGTCAGTGGATCATGTGGCTCTTGATCTCAGGATTGTGGGTTTGAGTCCCACGCTAGGTTTAGAGATTACTTAAAAAAATAAAATCTTAAAAACAAAACAAAACAAAACAAACCCTACAAGAACCATCAGGCTCCATTAGAGGAAAAAGCACAAGATTCAAGGGTACACCAGAAGAAGAGAGGGAGGGGGAAGGGGAGACTGTATTTAAAGAAACAAAAGCTAAGAATTCCCCAACCCTGGGGTAGAAACTAGACATAAAAGTCCACAAAGCAGGGACGCCTGGGTGGCTCAGTTGGTTAAGAGTCCACCTTCGGCTCAGGTCATGATTCCAAGGTCCTGGGATCGAGTCCCACTTTGGGCTCCTTGCTCGGTGGGGAGCCTGCTTCTCCCTCCGCCTGCCAATCCCCCTGCTTGTGCTCAGGGGGGATTAATAACAGAACACCTTATTATCTCAAGGCAAAAGACCTTCTCTAAGACACATTACAACAATGCTGTCAAAAGACAGCGATAAAGAATTGTAAAGGCAGCCAGGGGGAAAAGGCAGTAACCTATAAAGGAACCTCCTCGAGGCTATAAGCAGATTTCTCACAGAAATTCTACAGGTTAGGAGAGACTGGAATGACAAATATTGAAAGACAAAAATTGCCAGCGCCAAGAGAACTCTTCAGATACGAAGGAGAGTAAAGACTTTCTCGGACAAACAAAAGCTCAGGGAGCTCGCCACCATTACCCTCGCCTCTCAAGAAATGTTGAAGGGGGTTCTTCAAACTGAAACAGAAGGACAAAAATACACAAAATTCTGATTAAGGTGATAGCCACCATTAGAAAAAAGGTAACAGTTTTAGAACAGTATATTGAACACTTAGATATAGCATAAAGGTTAAAGAGAAAAGAGCATTAAAAATCACCAATTTGGTGATGAAATCACGGTATAAAAAGAAATAATTTGTGGTATCAAAAATACACAAGGGGAGGAGTAAAAGGATGAAACTTTGGCAGGCAAATGAAGATAAACTGCTAGAGCAGAAAGGGGACTATGTTATCTATGAGATGTTCGATGTAAACCTCACAGTAACCATAAAGCAAAAATCTACAGCAAAGACATACAACATGAAAAAATGTGCAGACTGAGCAAATCACAATGGAAAACAACCAACTTACAAAAGTAGACAGAAACAGACGGGGATACCAGACAAGGGAGTAATCTCCAAGACACATAAAGAACTCACACAACTTAGTAACAACAAAAACAATCAGATTAAAACATGGTCAGAAGTAAATAGACATTTTTCCAAAGAAGACATCCAGATGGTCAACAGACACATGAAAAAACCTCCACATCACCCATCATCAGGGAAATGCAAATCGAAACCACAATGATATGGCACCTCATCCTGTCAAAATGACTATCATCAAAAAGATAAGAGATAACAATGCTGGTGAGGATGTGGTGAAAAACAAAAACCAAAACCAAACCCTTGTTCACTGTTGTGGGAAGGTAAATTGGTCTAACCACTATGGAAAACACTATGGAGATTCCTCAAAAAATTTAAAATAGAACTATGAAATGATCCAACAATTCCACTTCTGGGAATATATACCCAAATGAAATGAAAACAGGATTTCAACGAGATCTCTGCACACCCATGCTTATCAAAGCATTATTCACGTGAGCCAAGATATGGAAACAACCCAAATGCCCATCAGCTGGTGAATGGATAAAAAGATGTAGTACAGGGGTATCTTGCTGCCTCAGTCCCTGCAGCATGTGACTCTTGAGCTCGGGGTTGTGGGTTCGAGTTCCATGTTGGGTGTAGAGATTGCTTGAAAATAAACTCTTAAAAAAAAAAAAAAAAGTAAGACAGGGCGCCTGGGTGGCTCAGTTGGTTAAGTGACTGCCTTCCGCTCAGGTTATGATCCTGGAGTCTCGGGATGGAGTCCCACATCGGGCTCCAGTCTCACATCAGGCTCCCTGCTCGGCGGGGAGTCTGCTTCTCCCTCTGACCCTCTTCCCTCTCGTGCTATCTCTCATTCTCTCTCTCTCAAATAAATAAATACAATCTTTTAAAAAATAAAATAAAATAAAAAGTAATACATATACACAATGTAACGTCAAAGGAGGATATCCTGCCATTTACAACAACGTGGGTGGACCCTGAGGACATTATGCTAAGGGAGGTAAGCCAGCCAGAAAGACAGGTACCGCATGCTATCACTTATACGGGGAATCTAAAGAAGTCAAACCTATAAAACAACAGAGAGTAAATGGTGATTAGCAGGAGATGCAGGGATTAGACTAACGTTTTTCAGGGTACAAAACTGTAACGAGTAGTAAATAAACCACAGAGACCTAATGGACCGCATAATGAATACAGACAGTAATATTCCGCTGTAATTACACAATGGGATAAATGTCGCTACAACAATCATGCTGCGACATAGAAATGTATCAAAATCACAGCTGTACACCCTAATCTTACACGTCAAATTTACTCAAGAAGAATACAAAATGGCACGCCCTCCTTGAAGACTTCGGAGTATTAAATGGGTTACACTAAGGGAAAGCTCTGGAGAAGACCCCCTTGCATATTCAGGGCGCTCACTGAGATGCCACACCCAAAGCGCCTGAAATCCCGGAGCCCCCGCTTCCTCTGCGAGGCGGAGGCGGGGGGCCAGCGCAGGCGGCTCCCCGGGGCGCCCCGGCCCTCGAGCCCGCGTCTACCCGGCGCACCCCCGGCGCGGGGAGCGCTCCGCAACGCCCTCTCCCCTGGCGACGCGGGAGCGCGGGGCCGATACTCACCTGTTGGGGACACCGCTCCTCCTCGCCAGACGCGACAGGCTGCTCTCCCGCCGCCCGGGACGCGGCTCTCGGGCCTCTGCCAGCACAGACCCGCAGGGCGCCGGGGCGCCGACGGCGGGCACCGAAGCTTCCCGAAGGCGCACGCGGCGCGCACGCGGGGGGCGGCCGGCGGAGCTGCCTCGGGCCGAGCCCCCACCCACTGCGGCCCCGCCGTGCGCGAGCGCGCGGCGGGCGGTGCGCGGGTCGGGAGCGCGCGGGCCGCAGCGGCCCTCTCCCGGTCCCGCCCCCGGCCCGGACTGAACAACAATGCCCTGTGCATCCAGGGAGTGTCGAACTGCCCCCAGACTCGGCCCTGTGAAAGGTCCCAGTATGTCGTCCGGCTGGAGCCCTGCTCAGTGGGACAAACCTGCGGGGCCCCCAAGAACAGGCTCAGGCCCGCACGGGCCGCTGGGACTTGTAGTCCCCGGGGCGGGCCCGACTCGTCAGTCATCCCCTCTGCGAAATCGGCAGGGCTGGGGACCACTCCGTTTTACAGCGTTGGAGAGCACCGTGCTTCACTTGCATCACACCCGGGTCCGTATTACTTCCTGAGCGCCTGCTGAATGCTGAACACCTTAGCTGGACTTGGGGGAGAGTCGGTGAGCTCCTGCGCACTTTAGTTTAAGCAGGAAGATGAACTTGCAAGGAAGAACGGCAGGAACAAAAATGACAAATTCTAAGTGCTGTTGGAGGTCACACGAGGGCCAGAGACGGGGGGGGGGGGGGGGGGGGAACCTTCCCCGACGATGCTGGGCTCCAATCAGGCTTTGAAATGTCGAATGTTTGGGCGCTTCGGCGCTTAGTGGGTTAAACATCTGCCTTCGGCCCAGGTCATAATCCCAGTGTCAGGGTCCCTACTCAGCAGGGGAGTCTGCTTCTCCCTCTTCCTCTGCTCCTTCTCTCTCTCTCAAATAAATAAATAAATAAAATCTTTATTTAAAAAAAAGTGGAATGCTCTAGATGAGGGGGAGGTGGCAGGGAGTAGGAAGGAGTGTGGTCTGGCTGTAGTGAGTGGTTTATGTCAGACAACGGTGAGCACGGCTTAGATGGGGATGTGGTCGCCAGTGTCTTTGGACCTCACTTCCAGGAAGGGCCTCCAAGGGACACCTGGGTGGTTCAGTCACTTAAGCATCTGCCTGTGGCTCAGGTCATGATCCCAGGGTCCTGGGATCGAGTCCCACACTGGGCTCCTTGCTCAGCGGGAAGCCTGCGTCTCCCTCTGCCCCTGCCTTGCTTGTGCCCCCTCTCTCTGACAAATAAATAAATAAATAAATAATCCTTAAAAAACAAACAAAAAAAGGAGCCTCAGTTTTGAGTTTGGCTCCAAGGGAGACTATCAGTACAGTCAGGAAGATGCATCTTCAGGCGTAAATAAAAGAGAACATCTCACTGCTGGTTTCCAGTTTCTGGACCTAGAGGTCCCTGTTGCTCTAAGAATCCATACACGCATATAAAACCTATCATGAACTTGTGAGTAGCAAAATTAGACTGAGTTGTGTGTGAGCTAGATATAAGCTTTCAAAATATGCTTCCATTTTTGTAAACGGTTTTGGCATTGATTCAATTTTTGTGTACCAGAAGTCTCAAGGGAAGCGGACCCAAATCTTTCTCGACCTAAAGGAGCATGTTGATGATTTGAGGCTTGGTCCTGAGAGCAAGGGATGATTTATGAGAGCAGTTTTGTTGCCTTTCAATGGCTCAGACATAAACCCACAGTTCAGAAAATCCTTTTCAAGGCCACGGGTTCTTAGCTTTTGATTTCAGAAACCAAGATCACACTTAAGTAAAAGATATTTATTCTCAAATTTCTCAGGTAATGGAACACCAGGATGTCATGATGCTTTTACTTTTACCAAAACACTGTGGAAGGCTGTATCACACTTAATTGGTATGGAATTTGTGGTTAAATTCCACTTTTCTGTATCCTAGTAACAGTAAAAGTGAGCTGGTGCCATATACCTTATTAATTTTGATTTTGACACACAAAAAATTTTACAACCAAATGAAACTATCTTAATTTATGTCATCCTGAGCACCAAGAAGCCTTCAATATGGGGGACGGTTCCTGGTCACTCCTGTCACTATCCTAGATGATACTGTCAGGAGATGCAGGGGCCACTTTGGGTCTTAGGTAATGTCAGGAAATGCGTGGGATCACATCTCATCTGCAAGCTTCCCAAATCTCCTCATGTGCACCTTCTGTCCCAGGGTAGAGGAGAACCAGATCTCACACAAGCTGTTTACTTGACCAAGGATGCATCATTCCCCCTGGACAGCTGTGGAGCCTATGTGTAGAAGGACAGATGTGAGATCGGAAAGGGAGGAAGAGAAGGAATATTTCTCCTGGCCTCCAAACACGGGCTCTCCGCCAGGGGAACACCACCCCACTCCCATCCTCCATATCTAGGGGTCCTGGAAAAAGTACAGTAGTACTTGCTTGTTATCTTCTTCCACAATGACTGGGGCTTCAACTGCTCTTTAATGGGAAAGAGGAACGGTGCTAAGTGTTCCCACAATGAACAGGACAGTCCCATATGGTGAAGAAATATCCTACCAAAAAGCCATCTGTGCCCATGTTGACAAACACAAAAAGTCCCATGGTAGAGTTTGGTGTTTAGAGAACCCCGTGTCACTACACCAGCCCATGAACAAGAGAGGCGCTCAGCTGTTTCATGTCGATCCACGTGGAGACTCCTTCTGGCTGCACCAGGCTTCCACCATGAGAGCCCCCATAATCACCACAATTATGGCAGCCAGACCCAGTCGGATGAGGTTGCCCATGATGTAATCCCCCGACGTGGCATCTGGGGGAGCTGAAAGAGAGAAGAGGGTGAGCACCAGCTGGAAAGGAGCATCCCTCCTTCTCACGCGGATCTGCCCAACGTGACTCTCCTGCACCTGCTTGTGCTTCCTGGACAGTGGTCAGCTGTACCTTCACTGACGTTGTAATCACTCAAAACACACGTGACATTTCCTGAGAGTTGTAGTGGGTCTTCCTTTGTCTCCTTTCTATTCGTTCTGCCGTACCGCTCTTCCTTCATTTCTTTGCTCTTCATCTCATTTCCTGCCTCCCACACTGCCCTTTCCCCCTTCTCCTTCCTTGTAGTAGGAATCAGGCTTAGGAGCAACCCCAAAACCCAAAGGTGCTGCACGGAGAATGAAAGTAGTTCAGGGCTCCGTCTGCTCCCCTCCTCAGAGCAAAGGCTTAGTGCAGCCAGTGAGCTCAAGAAAATTCAAGCTTAGTAGCTGAGCATCGGAACCACCAGGCATTTCATTTCAGCTTCACCCAAGAAGAGTTAGGGCTCACCACTGGCCCTGACTCCTAGACAGAACCTGTACTTGAATCTTCCAGCTCACACGTGCCATGAGTGCAGAGTTCATGTCTGAAGACATCAGCAACAATGCTCCCTGGAGACATAGTCCACGGGGAGAGACATGTGATGACCCCACCAAGCCCAGGATGCCCTCTGCATCCCTCAGCAGCCCCCGCCCGGACCTTGCTTTCCAACTACAGAACATTCGCTGACGACAGCACACCCGCAAACATTTACACCACCGAGGAAGCAGGGTGTAGCATCCAATGAAGCAAGAAGATCAGTTTAGAAGATACCACGTCTATGCCAGAAAAGTGGGCGGCTGGGGGAGCACCGTGTTCTAAGAGTGAGAAAGGTACCGCCATGAAGTTGCCATCAGCAGGATGTCCCACAACTCTAAGTGACGCCCAGGGTGGCAGAAGGGGCTCTGGTGGTGGCGGGATGGATCGTTTGGAAGAACAGCCTGAGACATTCTCCAAGAATGCAAAGCAACAAACACCAAAGACTAGAAACTAGGAAAGGAGAGATTAAAAAGGAGATGCTCGGGAAAGTGAAGGAGAAACAGGAATCAGAAAGTAACAGAAGAAATGCTCGCCAGTTTAAAAAAAAAAAAAGACTCACACCTTAAACTAATACAGTGTTATAAGTCGGTTATAGGTCAACAAAACAGGAGAAAGAAAATAAATAGCCAAAATAAAAACAAACTCATGAATTAATTAATTAAATTTTTAAAACGTCCTAAGAATCATGCAAAACTTCACCTGTCACCCGGATCTCAAGATGATCACTAGGCTGTGAGGTCAGGAAGGGAGGCCTCATCAGAAAGTACACACAGCTGTAGTTCCCGGCATCACTGACTGTCACAGTCCGGAGGGAGAAGTCCGTCTCCTTCCCTGCAGGACTCTGGACCCGTATGGGCTCTGCTGCCCCCGCCTTCAGTAGAGCGAACATTACAGGCACGAAAATATTGTCTGGCCTCTGGCACTGCAGGGTCACGGTGTCTCCTGCGGTCACCTCACCCCTTTGGTGGGCTTGGAGGGAAGGTTTTGTTAAATCTCCTGGAAGAGAAGGAGGGCTCCACGGTCATGGGGAGAAGCCCGGGGTCCCCCACCCTCCCTTGTTCTCCTGGCAGGGGTTCCCGCCAAGTGGGCGAAAATGACAGATCCCTGGTCTCACCCTCTTTCCACTCTGACTGTGGGAAGATTTCCCCAACAAGCCCTGGATGAAGCTGAGCCAGGTCATTCTGTTCTGTGTTTCTCCATCTCCCCTCGTTCCCTCCCTCCCTTGGGTTCCTCCCGCACACCTGTCCCTGCAAGACCCTATGTCCCTCCGAGGCACCTCCTCACCTGTCACCAGCAGTAGGAGGACGTCACTGGGCCGCGAACTTACGTACGGGCTCCCTAGTCTGTAGTACTCACAGCTGTACTCTCCAGCATTGTCAGTTTTTAGGTCAGTGAGGTGAAATTCAGCCAGGCCCTCTGTGGAAGCCTGTGATTGCACGGACTGCAGTGGAACTTTTCCCTTTCTGAGAACAAAGTTGACATTCTTGGTAGACGTTTGGCACTGCAGTGTCACATTACTCTTGTGAGGCACCACCGAGCTGGGCCAGGCCCTGAGGGAGGGCTTGGGAAGGGACTCTGGAAGGAAGCAGATTTGGGGACGGGATTTGGTGCCCTCGTCTGCTGTCAGGAAGCCCCTTGAAGGAAAGAGACAGGACACGGGGACTTTGGAGTGAAGGGGAGGGAGGGTCTGACTGAAG